GGGTACATGGAATAACGACATTTACTCCAAGATGGAAACTCCCTTAGTGGTGGCCTACCAGGAAGAAGGCCCCCTTAAGTACCTGGTGCCTGACCTAAACCTGTGTCAAATAATGAAAGAGGTTCATTGGCTCTGCCCAGGGGAACCATTTCTGACCAATACAGCAGAACTAATGTGTGGTCTGTCAAACCTAAGCTCCAAGGAAACTTGCAAGTTTAAGCTAAGTAAACCCAAAGAAAGAACCGGAACAGTGGCCATGATAGCTAATGCCCAGTGGTTGATTAGCACCCCTCTAGACACGGCAATTGTTTCCACCGATCAACACTCCATAACCATGGAAGTTCCGATTCCAAGCCACGTCGCACTGGTCACAATACCAAGAGGAACATTCGTACGCATAGGGGACAAGGTATTATATAACCTAGACAAAAGCCTACACCAAGCGGAGGTAGAAATCGTAGACACATTCCGAGGCCACAAGTTTGAGATAAGCAGCACTCTGTCCAACTTGTTGAACAGTAAAGAATTCCATATGGTGAAATTATCCCTCAGCGAATCAGAGATTAACATAACAGATCTTACTTGGGCGACCGAAGTGGCTGGATATCAGCGAAATCAACAGATGGGGATGGGTATCACAGGGGCAACAGGGATGATCATACTAGTCCTGGCTATTCTAACCTTAACATACCGTGTGGCCAAAATGAATGCCGAACTTAAAAGATTAATCGCAGGCACAAGCCACATACCATTCGAGCCCAGGAACAGGGATAGAGCCAAGGCCTGATGATGCCACCCAAGAATAACCGTAGAGACTATCTTTTTAACGATATCTCCTATAACAGGTAGTCAATAGAATAACGTTCCCTCCCTTATCGTTTTACCTTCCTTTAGAATATTTTTTTTCTCTCTTGTCACATATAACCTGTTAAGTTGTGACACGTACGCGCGCGTTGTAAGGAATAGCAGCAAAACTTGAGGACAATCGATGGTTCATGATGGAAGAAGGGTATACATATTTTTAAAAATAACCCGTGGCCATTTGACCACTGGTCATTTTTAAAAGGGCGGAATGTTGTATACTAACCCTTCTTCCATAATTGAGATTAATAATATTTGATGATTTTTATATATTATCTTTTTACTTGTTTTTTTTAATGAGTGAAACACACCAAGCGCAGCAAACTGCAAAACACCAGGTGTTGTTAAGTAATGAACCGGAGGAGGGCTAGGATGGCAGAATTTACAACGTTGCTTCAAGGGAAGATAAGGCCTGATGAACGGGCACATGTCACCCGTGCAGGCGGCAGAGACAGTGGGAGTGTCAGCCAGACATAGTTAAGGCAAAAGCCCAATCATCCTGCATGGTTTTAAAGTAACGTCAAAATTCGAAATTCAACAACAGAGTAGGCTAAATTATCGATCCTCGCGCTCGCTCAAATTGGAGACCAGGCTGCGAGCTACATCAATGAACCATTGCCCATTTGCTAATCCAATACTGAATGTTAATATTACTGAAGTCAAAACGAATTCTATGACCTCAGCACATGGGCAAATAATAGGGCAGTGTCGACTCAAAGGCAATGGAAGAAAACAGAGGCGCCTTTGTCTAAATCACAACCACAGAAAGCCAGGAATCATCACTGATTGTGTGTTCAGGAATTCCGAGCTAGTTAGAACACGTGCACAGGGGGGGGAGCTGATGTAAACAACCCTGCGCGTCTGGATGTGAGGGGGCCTTGGACCTGGAATCAAGAATAAACACTCCCAGAGCAGAAGGTTGGCAGGGGGAGAGGTGATTTAAAAGAGGGTTGTATATCTCTCAAGGCACAAGACCCAGCTGAACAACACGGCTGCGGGGGTCACCAGAAGTTCGCATTCGCCTAGTTAAGACAAAAAGCTCAATTATTCTGTATTGCTATTAAAGTAACGTTAAAGTCGGAATTTAACAACAGAGTAGGCTAAAGTTATTGATATTCACACCCACTCCAATTAAACCAGGTCACAAGTTACGCCTACTGAACCATCACCATCATTAAGTCAATATGAAATGTTATTTCCATACTTCAATACTTTCTATACAATTCGACCCGAAGCATATGACAATCAGAACCTTCCTAAGTCAAAATTGAATCGCACCCAGACAGGAGCGAATAGTCAATATAAGGTTGAAGAGGGAAGGAAATCAAGAGCACGGCGAACTGCAAACGTAAGCAAAAAGCCGGGAACAACACCAGCCCAGCAACAGCGAGTGGGGCTTCGACAGGCCATAAAGTAGAATAATAACTCCCGGGGTCAGGGGACACAAGAAGAAGTAGGCAGACAAAAACCAGAACTGACTCCAAGGTTCAACCGCCCTCACCTACTCAGGGGTGACGGAAATTAATGAGGCCTTGAATTAACGGCAGGCAACAACAACGGCGAGCAGAGATAGGGTGGGGCAAAGACTGCGGGCTAGGAATGCAACTTCGTGTCAGTAAAGCCCTGACAAACAAGTTAAGTTAAAGACATCACAATACATAATATCGCACATAACATCAATGTTAACGCTATTCACCGTAAACTATATTCCGCTTATATAACCATCCAGGCACCAAGGAATACGAATTCCTAGGATCAAGAAACTTACCCCTTAACCTAAGATATCGGAAATAAATTAATAGTAATAAGTATATGCATGAAAGACAAAAGTAAAACTTATGGAAAAGCCAGGATAACGGGATGAATCACCACCAGGTCGAATATAAATACATAAAAAAAAAAAACGATGTTAAACCCAGGGTCGGAGAGAAAGGGAGATCCCGGCCGTCTTTGTATCCCCGCAGCGCGGGATAGGAGTGTGTGTACGCTCGGGGAAACACCTACACTTGGGTCGGGAACCACGATGGGAAACGACAGACCTTAGGTTACATACAGAATCATAACTGTGAAATAGTAAGGGACAAATGTTAACTTAAAACTTTTAACCATTTCTTTGTGCGCCGGGTCGGAGAGAGTGTTGCCCCCCTCCAGGTTGTGCAACACGAACAAAGACGCCTATGAGACGATTTGTAACGTCTGTGTTTTGGGTTCATGAAGAAGGCCAGACAAGAGATAAATTGCACCCAGACAGAGAGACGACTTCGAGACAATTTGTAACATCTGGTTGTTTGCTCGTGGGTTTTATGGAGGGAGTTGACAACGGAATATACCGTCAGTGATGCACACAAGGACATACGGACACACACATGGACACACCTGCCTACACGGACAGATCCTGACACAGCAAAAATCGGAAGCCCCGCCTTGTGGGCGGGATCCAGGGGGATTTTTCAGCATAAAGGAACGGATCCTGAACATTGGAAACCAGTGCGACGGGAGGGTCCACTCAGAAGCTCGACCGGGAGGGTCGACTCAGGAACGAGTGCGACCAGAGCGGGTCCACTCAGGAGTGCGACCAGAGAGTCGACTCAGGAGCGAGGGCGACCAGCGGGTCGACCCAGGAGCGAGCTCGACCGGGAGGGTCGACTCAGGAGCGAGCTGCGACCAGCGGGTCGGCTCGACTCATCTTCAGCTCGTCAATCTCTGCTGCCGCCGGAGATCTCCGCTGCCGCCGGTGGTGAGCGTCGCGACTTGGCGACGATCCAGCGCTGCACGCTACGAGCGAGTTGTGGGCGCCACCTACCGACCGGGTTCCGAACTGCGACAGCGTATCAACAGCCATCCGACAGGGGAGCGATGGATACGTATGACGCGCACCGCCCCCTCACCACACGACCACCAGGCGTCTGTTTGACCTAAAGAATCGACTCCGAACACTGACTATTCAAGACAACTCTTACCACTCAAACACACTCGAACCCATAAGCCATCCGTGGCTGGAAAGCATCACAACGAGACCGAGTGGTGGCCATCCGTCGTATAAGAGTATTCTTAATTTTTATCTTTAATATTTAGTGGGCTGTACTCTTAATCGCATAAATTCCCAACAGATCCATCAATACGAACTGATTCTTGGCACCTCCTTCCGCCGAGCCACGCTCATGTGGGGAGTGGTGGCCCACCGGATCCTTATCAGGTGATCTGGTCCCCAATTAGTAAACTTGGTATAAGATAACGATCTTCGGAAAAGGAGCACCGTCGCAGGCCCTTACTCCGAGCCGTTCTGCTGTCAGATAACCTGCCGATGTATCTGTTGAGATTGGTGCCTTTAAGAATAGTAACTGTTTTGATTGTGTTTTTTTTTTTCTTTCGCCGTATAATCTTTCAAGTATCCTTCAGTCATAATCGCCGCACGTACTCGCATCCTCTACAGAATATTCAACTGTCCCGTGACCCAAGGTGTTAACAACGTGATAAGGGTTGCGTATGATCAATAAGGAGTGCGGTACTGCGTGAACAATATTGAGTATAATCATTCATTAACGTTAAGGTTTTCTTAGCATAGTATTTGCATGTTTTAACGACTCTCTCTCTCACTAACAACCATCGCGTTATGCGGGATCCATGTGCAGTTGTCAAAGTGAAATCAGACAATCGTTGATGATACTGTATTGATGCCGTATTGACGTTCCGGGATTGAGAGTTCGCATACTATATCATAGTTAAGGTTGAATTAGTAATAAATTGATCAATACAGAAGTGGTTGTGTGATTCTTTCCTGAAATCTATGCATAAGATCTGCTTCTGCGTTGAGATTTGAACTTGGTGACCTTAATAAACACACTAATACATACTCAGTAAATGTTAAAGCGATAACGGGGTGAACCGGGGTCTGGTTATCATAACGACTTGCGTTATCATAATTACACCCACTCGCATAATTAATACGATTACCTCTCGAATTGGCATAATTAAAATGTGCGTAATTACATAATTAACATATTTCCGGATAATTACACATTTGGCCAAATTTCATTAATTATTATTATTTCCACTGAATATTCATAACCCACACGTACAACATAATAATTCACCCACGCACGCATACAACATAACAAATTTTCATAACCAACATATACAACACAACCCCAACTTGGGGTGCTTCCTCCACTTCCTCCTCCCTTGGTGGCTGTGCCAGACGAGAGCGGCCGACTTATTTGCGAACTCGTCGTGAAGATTCCTGCTGCACAAAACACCTACAAATACAAACAGCGTCTTACAACAATGCAACTTAAGATGTGGATAGCGACCGGACGCATTTGCAGCTCAGGATGTGGTACGGGAGAGTTTGATGTGTGCATGACCGTGTCTCGCATTCATATATATAGATGACTATGGAACATCAATCTCAGTGCAGTGCTAATACAACGCACACTCAAGCATGACTTTGGTTGTTTGGAGTGTAGAGATGGCAATCAGTAGCGATTAATAATTTCAGAACGGTGTAAATTCCAGCGCAGAGCGCTCATGCCCGTGACAATGCGTGATTATAGTCACTAACTCGTCTATTCGGTCATGAATCCTCCCATAACGGAGTCTTCTGTGCTCGAGTTACGGGACCTGTAGTGTCGTCTCTGCCTTCCTCTCTACTCGGTCGGATTTCCTCTCAGCTAGAGGTCGCAAACGGGTACCCGTACCCAGCCGGGTACGGGTACCCGTTTGCGACCCTGGTGCGGCCGGGTACGCGTACGGGTAAGGAATCAAAACCCGTTTGCGACCTCTGCTCCCAGCTCACGGGGAGGGGGGGGTGGGCAACGTAGCAGCGCTCTCATCTCTGTTGGTGGCCCTGAGCTCACCATGGAAAATTCCAGTCCCACAGCGGGGGCCATGCGCTCTCCACGGAAACCCGCGCAGTTTTTTTTACTTTCCGCGATGCGAGGTTCGTGGTGCCCCACTCCGGAGAGATGAAATCGGCACAGACCCCCCCTCCCCCCACAACAAACGCACCCAGCGGAGTGAAGAGCACGGATGGCACCTAGACAGCTCGAGTCCCCACTGCCCCCAGTGAATGTTCAGACGCCCTCGTACGTTGGCTACATTCGTCTGTTCGCGTTGTCTGTGGCGGCTGGCAACGCACGGACGAGTTAAACGGAGCAACGGGCGTGGCCTCACCCTCCGTTCGTTCCAGATCTGACCACGTGTTGTCCGTCTCCACCCCTTTTAATACCTGGGTCATGTGGTACCTTTCCACCAATCCTGGTTAACCTCTATGGAATCTTCTAGACTCCATCGTACGCTCCCAGGACCACGCCCCTGACTCGTCCCCCCATTGGCTGTGGCTAAAGCCAGCAGAACCAATCCTCTACTTACAGATGTCACCTTCCCATTACGTCAGGGCCACGCCCCTAGACTTCCCCCCATTAGCTATGGGCCAGGACCGGCAGGGCCAATCATCGTACGAGGTGTAATCCAACAGCAACCCGGATATGTCCTCACATCACACAACAAAGACGGCGATCGCATCGCGCGCTTTCAGGTGACTTCCATGGCCGTCTTGATCGCTCTTCCTGCCGATGTCAGGAATCCACCGGAGCCACGCACTTTTCAACGTGCGTTGAACGCTCATGTCATTCGAACCAATAAGCACGGTTGTCATCGTGCGGCGCGAAAGAAGTTCAACACACACAAACGTTCACTGTGCAGCGCAGCTACTACTATCCCACCTCGTTTTGCGAAACTGACGTTCGGGTAACGACACGCACACACGTGCACAATTACGTGCGTACACCCGGCAGCGAGACGAATCCACAGACTTACCACCGGACCGCATGCCGGACCATGCGTCGCGTGCCCAACCAACCACCCCCAGCCCCCACACGCGCCCTCTCTCACCTTGGCACCCATCCACCGCCTGCTCGTAGCCGGGGCCGCAGACGCACCTCCCGACGGGCATGAGCCACTTGCCATCGGCGCTGCAGAACATGCGCGGCGCCTCCTCCTCGACCGAGTTCTCGACGCATGCCCCGCGCACCTCGACATGCGAGGAAGATTCGGCGCCCGTCACCGTGTCGGGGAAGACGGCCAGGCCGCGCACGGTGCGTGGGCAGCGCTTGTAGTACACGCGCACGGACACGAGCGCGATGCATGCACCCACATCCTGGAAGGCCAGGTGGAAGCCCTTCTTGGCGAGGGGGCCCACGTCACGCACCTCCGTGTTCAGCTTCATGATGCGGCCGACCAGATCGATCTCGGTGAAGGTCTCGTCGGCCACGATGGTGTCCACCTTCACGTACTGGCTCTCGTGGATGCCGGACACGCGCTCGCTGTCCGACTCGTGGTAGTAGACGTTGAAGGTCTCCTTGCACGTGCCCGAGATGCCCGGGATGCTGTTGCAGTCGCGCAGCGTGAACTTGAGCTCGAGGAAGACGCGCTGGGCACCGCCGCGCATCATCCAGTTAGTCCGCAGCCAGTTGTTCTGGTTGGGCTTCATCACGTGGCAGACTTGGTACATCTGAATGGGCGTGTGGAACTCATCGTACCCGCTTATTTCTTCCCACTGTGTTTGTAGGGGAGGGTAGACAGAGAAGGTTGGTGGGTGGAGCGGGAGGGGGGGAGTGGCGATATTTTTGTTAGTGAAATTGGAAGATCGGGAGTTTAAAGTCTCATGATCAGAATCAGAATCGTTCTTTAGCGCTGGGGGAAACTGATGAGCTACGAAGTGTCAAGTCGGAGTGGGTCAGATTATCGGGTCCATTCAGCTCCTTGTCTACCCAGGATTCACATTGCGAGCACCACTTTGTAAGTAATCAACGGCGGTTGCTCTAAGGCATCTCGGCCCCCGCCATAGGAATGTGCAATTTCCACCAATGGCTAAGAAAGGTAAATGAGATGAGCACCTCCAAATGCTCAATTGAGCATCATGGCACTCTGACTTGTAATTCAGTCTTTGGCCTCTATGTACAGTACTTTATATAAGATTCACAATTGGATACAACAGCATTATGCAATTTAGTCGCCAATATATAGATTAATAATAATAGTTCAATTTCTAACGTGCGCAAATTTGCAGACGTAGTGGCCGCAACTCAGAGGCGCGGAGCCAAGCTCAGAATCGCTCAAAAGCATGATTGTAGAGGTGAGTTTTTAAGTGTCTCTTAAAGGAGGCGATTGAGGTGATGCTGTGCAGAGGATCTTGGTATCAAGAGGAGGTCGTGAGTCGCGCTGCGCAGGCATCTGCCGTGTGCTGAGCTGCAAGTTGTCAATAATGAAGAGAGGTACGGTGGGCAGGCCGATATGAAGGCATGGTGGCAGAGGTAGGCGGTATTTTGTGTGACCCTACTGGTGATGGGTAGCCAGTTGAGAGCACGGAGACAAGCTAGTGAGTCGAGACGGGGATGAGTGTGGGCAATGACGACGCATGCCAGGTTATTTTGTAGTCTTTGAAGTTTCTTTAGGCTGCCAGCGGAGGTCCGGACTAGGACGGAGTTACAATAGTCAAGGCGAGACCCAACTATGCAACATGCCAATGTGTTGGCAATTTCAGTAGAGATGAGAGGACGTATGTGTCTAAGAGCCTTCAGGTGAAAGTTACATGAGCTGATGATATGGTTGGTTTGACCGTCGAAGGATAAAGTTTAATCTAGGATGACACCGAGGTAGCTGAAGTGGTCGGTGAACTTGATGCTGTGACCGAAGATGTGTATGTGTGTGGGGAGTGCTGCTGAATTAAGACGTTGCTTGGTACCTAACATGATGGCCACTGACTTTTTCAGATTAAGGGCTAGGTTGTGTGCAGTGAACCATTGTTGCACGGTGGTGGTACATTCCGAGAGCCTCTCGAATCCAGATGCATTTCTAGAATCGATGGCGGTGAATATAATCGTGTCATCCGCGTATGAGTGATGCTTAACACCGAAGCTTGCAATGAGCCGGCCGATCGGGGAAGTGTAGGCTGTGAAGAGCAGGGAACCTAGTACAGAGCCTTGGGGAACCCCGCTTAATGCTGTTGTTTCAGGCAATGTGAACATGCCCACCCTGACTGAAGATTGCCGGTCAGAAAGGTACGAAACTATCCACTTGAGTGCTGAGCCGCATATACCAAAGTCGGATTTCAGGAGGGATGTAAGGAGCAAATGGTTGATGGTGTCGAAGGCTGTCGAAATGTCCAGACTTATAAGTGCAACAGTTGAGCCGGAATCAATGATCGTTAAAATGTCATCGAGCACTCTAGTGAGTGCTGTTTCTGTGGAATAGTTTTGACGGTAAGCTGACTGGAAGCAGCAGTAGTTTGCGGAGGAGGTGATGTGTGGTTTTAGCTGGGCGAGGGCTAGTCGTTCAAGGAGTTTCATGGTCATCATTGCACGGATTGAATGTTGTCCTTCGTCACACCTCCGATTAGCATGGTTAGCTTCGGAGGGTACAAAATAAGCTCAACGTGAGTATGTGTAGTGAGCATAAGTAGTGCAGGAGACGTCGATGGAGGCAACACTTATTGATTAAAAAGAGCTACGATACAGCAGCACGTAGCGAACCCTAACACTAGAGCAGTGGTTCTTAACCTGGGTTCGATCGAACCCCAGGGGTTCGGTGAGTCAGTCTCAGGGGTTCGGCGGAGGTTAAGACACACACCCGACTCATATGATTGTGCACCAGTAAAAAATATACCTATGTTTTTAATTTGAAAAAATCATATTTTATTTTTACAATTAAGAAGGGTTCGGTGAATGCGCAAATGAACTGGTGGGGTTCGGTACCTCCAAAAAGGTTAAGAACCACTGTACTAGAGGATGTGTTCCTCAGCGAACGTTCCTCGTGAGCTCCTACTACACCCCTCTATCTCAGACCATCCTAGTGGAGGTTAACTGACCTGGCCCAGTTTCGGCTCAGGTCCGACCCTCAGCCACACGAGTCTGGCCCTCACAAGGACACAGACCTCGCTGCTCTGAGGTCGCCCCTGGCTTGCCCTGCTCGGCTCTTACAAGTGTAGAGCCGTTGTAGAGCCGTTGTAGCCGTTGTAGACGGCCGGATTTAGACTTGCCGCGGATGGCAAACAAACACAATGGGCGTGGCTACATCGGGACGCGAAGACGGTGTTTACTGCGACGTCCGCGTTGTTATCCTGGGGGGCTATTGCGGAGCTGGGATCCCCCACAGCCCCACCCCTCAAGGGGGGATGGCTATTTAAGGTGGCGAGCCGGACGGCTCGGGGTCTAGTGTTAAGCTGTAACCAGTGAAGAAAGAAGACTCGCTAGACAGGCCCTGGAACTCCCTGGGATCGCTGCCCTTTTCAGGGCCGACCAGGCAAGCCAGCGGCGTGGCCCTAAGAGCCCAGGACCGACGCTCTTCTAAGAGCCGGACTGGGTATTCCGGGTGCCGTAACCTAGCTGTAAGCTAGCTGTGAGTCAGGCTGTTGTGTTCCGTAATGTAGACGGGTGAAGGGGCCGATACCCCTTCAAGTACTGTAAGTTGCCTGTTACTCGCTGGTGTTAATAAACAAGCGTGTGCCTCCAACTACGTTGTCAAGTCTCCGGGAACCTTACTACATCTGGTGTCGGAAGTGGTTCTACAAGGATGGAGACACGACGGACAACTCCTACCAGAGAGACGGGGCGGAGGAAACCTCGGCTGACTTTGAGCCAGAAATGGCTGAGGGCGGACTCGAGCAGCAGGGGCCAAGTCCACCCACACCGCAACGTCAAGACGAGTGGGAACCGTCGTCTGAAGGACTGTGGCTGGCCCACTCTCGACTGGCAGAATTGCTCTATGCTGCAGCCACCACACTGGAACAGATTACCCGACTGGGGACGGGAGGAGCTGCACGGGGCGATGGCGGCCAACATACAATGCCGTTTCCCGCCATTTCCAGAGACGCTGAGTTTGGAGTTCCCGCCATAAGTACAGTGCAGGCTGACGGCGAGGCGGGGCTACGTCACGTGGCCGATACTCACCAACCACAAGCCACGTCGGCAGCGGCGGACAACAAAACGTCACCACAGCAACCGCCGTTGCCACGCGCCCAGCCCGCCAAAGCTGCACGGAGTGACGGAGAGCGTTTTTCGCCTACGGACGCTGCGCTGCAACAGCGACTGCCACCTCTCAAGGAATTCGTGGGAGGAGAAGGCGACTGGGGTGGCTTCCGGAGGCGCTTCCTCGCCCATCAAGAGATGGCGAAATGGACCGATGACGAGGCGTTGCGTGCGCTGCCGGCGATGCTTGACAGCGATGCCCTCGCCACTCTCACCTCGGCACCAAGGGCGAAGCGCGCCACGCTGCAAATGGCGCTGCAACTCCTCGCCGCGGTCTATGGACCACCCTCGGACTGTCGCCAGCTGTTTTACGATCGCCAGCGGGGCGCCAAGGAGTCGCCCCTGGCGTACCGCACGGCTCTCCTGGCCCTGGCGAAAACGGCTTTTCCACGGATGGACGAGGATGGGGTGGACGCCATGGTCACGGAAAAGCTACTGCTGCTGGCCGATGATTTGGACATCGTCGTCTTGGCTGAGGACGACGCAAAAATGTGTTCGTTGACGGCCGCCCGGCACATCCATGTCAACCTGCTGGCCCAACGTCGGAAGGCCAGCAAAGCGAAGGCCAGCCATACCGTGGCTGCATCCGCCCTCCCAGCGGAAGACATCTGCGCTGTGGATCGCCCGACGGAGTGGAGGTCCGGAGTACGGCCAGCTCGGGACGGACCGAGCCGCCGGGATCAGCCCAAGCCATCAGCAACACTCACGCGCTGCTACAACTGTGGCCTCCAGGGCCATGTGGCGTCAGGATGCCGGGCTCCTCGGCAGCGTGGTGCGACGCCTCGCCAGGACGTCGCGCCTCGACCCAAGTCTCCCCAGCAAAATCCGGCGAGTCGTGGCACCCCACATGGTTGGCCCACACGCACACCTGCCACTCACTCACACACCGCAACGAACGGGGGTCAGAAATTATCCATTGTCACGCCAAAACGTACCTCCGTCGGGTGTGCGGTCCAACCGACCCAGTGGTCCGAGTTGGCTCATCGTGTTGTTGCCGCGTCGTCGGGGTCGTCGGTTGTTGTGGGACATATTGATGGGGTCGAGGTACGGGTCTTGATTGATACGGGAGCATCGGCGACTATTGTGTCTGATTTGATTTACAACATTCTCCCCATTCAAAGTCGTCCCTTGCTCCCTGTTGATGTCCCATGTTACGCTGCTAACGGGGGTTCGTTGGGCATTATCGGACAGATCCGCGCGCAAATTTGTATTGGGGACATTAAATTATCCGGCCTGATATTGGTCTCCTCCTCGCTGGCGGTTCCGTGCCTGTTGGGGACGGATTTCTTGGCCAAAATGCCCATTCGTATACTAATCGACCAAGGATGCATTGAACTTCCGTCGGGGCGAGGTATGGCCTTTTTGTCATCCCCCGCTACCACTGTCCGTACGGCGTTTGCGACGGTACCGGCGCTGGTCGCGAGGACGGTACGTGTACCGCCGGGAGCTCAAATGCTCGTACCTCTTAGGCTGCGCCGACCGTTTGGGGAGGGCGTCGGGGATCGGGGGGTTCTGTTGGGACCATCGAGGG